TGACTGCTAAATGTTAAAAAAATTGAGCTATTATTATTATCAGCTATTATTATAATAATATTAGAAAAATATAAAATTTTTGAATTTACATAATCGATATTTGACTTACAATATGCATATCATAAGTAATGGATTCAGTGAAATGCAACATAAATATAAGAACCATATAGCACATACTTGAAAAAACTTGTGGTATGTTACATGTTTAAATAATATCAAAATATCTAAAATTCTTTCTTACTTCTGATTCTCTTTATTTCCTCCCTATATTACCAAAGCGGGTATATCCTCAATCATTGAATAGTAACAAAAGGCACTTTTAACTGCTTGAAAGTAATAGGTGACATCAGGCTAATTATAAACCAACGAGATGATTTGGATCCGCGGCAACAAGTTGATCTGGATTATTTACACTGAATTTAGAATGTCAAGGTGGGTGTCACAAAACAGTGATAATATTTCGATCTTAAATGAAACAAGATTTTTGTATCTAAATGCTCCCGACTCTGTCGCTAATGTTATCAGTACACTATTCATCACCGAGGGGAATCATACTAAACTTTATCTGTCGTATACACAGATAAAAATTATAACCGCAATTCTGGCTTATTATCACAACTCGGCAGTTTTCCCGCAACAATAATCTTAAAGTTAGATTACATTAACGAATTTTTATAATTAGCAATAAATTTGCAGTTTGCTAAACTTAGCGATTTCTAGATTTTTTTTTTAATAATTATCATCAGTTGTATTTCCTTCTTTGCAGTTCGGGTAGCACGTTGATTAGGAATCTGTAAGAGGAGTTTTTCCTTCGTCTTGCTTTAGATTTCACTTGTTACACTCTACAAATATATGAATGAAGGATCAAATTGTTGCGAAATTCGCATCCCCTTGCGTCTGAGCAATGCTGAAGGAGTGAAAAATTCAGTTTTATGCTATCATTTTATGGAAGCCAAGACTGTGTGCCGTCTTGATGCGACTATCCGGGGAGAGTGTAGTCCTGGTTATTGTGGCCAGTAGCAGCCGTGGTTCGCTACAGCGTGGTGCGGCATTGTGATGCATGGAATGCAGCTGTCGAAGACAAGCACGGGAATAGGAATTTACCAGAATGTCCTGGATAGCATTTGCTCTAAAGCAATCCATCGATATGTACTCAAGCTCCTGAAGATCTAATATTACGTAGTTACGCAGATGTTTATCCATAGTAAGCTTTCTATCACATGTCACAGACTGACATACCCTGTTCGTCTACTGTATATTAAGTTCAAGGAAAGTATCCATAAAACTAACTATTCACTTGACTTCCATATGCTTCTTTTGTTGGCTAATACTTTCTCATTGCACAAATACACTCAACAGCTCCAAAATTCAAACATTAAAATAAGTTTAGAAAAGAGGAAAGAATGTGATTTTTTTTCAATATCTCGATGAAGAATATTTTCGATACAAATTTATCTTTTTGTACTACTTGCCAGCGCAATAGGTATCGAGAGGTTTTAAACCCGGCAAATGGGAAAAAGAAATGAAATCAAAATTAGAATTTAGTAAAATTCATTAGAACAATAGTTTTTAATTAATTAATTATTTCAAAATCAGAAGCCAATATGCATTACTTCCAGGTAATTGGGTCAAGAGCCCTTTTCCTATTACTAGAACGTTATTTCAAATTTAGTGGAAAGTTGGTTTTAAAGAGCCTTGGATCACCAACAAATCGGTTCACAACCAAAGCTTTCAAAGAAGAAATATCTTGGATGACGACTGAAGTCTCGAGACATATAGTAACCGGCAATGAATGGTACTCAAAATACAGTTAATGCAAAGGAGGATATTTCTTCAGAAAATGATGAAAGAGGAGATAATCGTAGTTATTTGATAGGCGAAATTTTTGCAAAATGGGTGCATAAAATTTTATCACTTCTTATTTACTACTGATACAGCTTTAAACCATTAAACTGTAGAGTCAATAGGTTATTTGTGTGTGTGTGATTATGGCAAAGCCTCGGGGGTATTTGCCTAAGGAGAGGAATGCTTTCGTGGAGGACTTTCTAAGGGAAACTGGCTCGTATACACGTTACACATGGGGAAAACCACGATAGGTTATTTGGAAGCAGGAGAAATAAAAAAAATAAGCAATGCCTTCGCCGGGACTCGAACCTGGACATCTCGTATACGCGCGAATGTGCGACTGTTACTCGCGAATGCATGCTGGAAAATTAGCGTATAAAGAATGAATTTAGCAGTTTCATTTATAAATTTTTCTAAGCAATGCTATCTTAATAACGCTAATCTATTTCTGGTGCATAATCGGCTATGGATCCCACGTCGAATCCTTGATTATCATTGATCCCCTTCAAGATTTCTTCGACTCCACGGACTCAGTGCTGAATCCCTTAGGAACTCTTGCTCTAGAGAGTACCTTTCAGCAACAAACTAAAGTATCCTGTATACTAAAGTATCCTATATCTAAAGTATCCTGTATACTGCTTGAATTTTCCTCATTTTCGAAAGTTGCATAGAGTTTGCGAAATCACGCGAAATTTCCCAACGGAAGTTTTAATATTTAAAAGTCTAAATGGATACTGATATCCTTTATCAGTATCCATTTAGACTTTTAAATTTATGCTCATTTTAATTAAGCAGAAAATTTCATCATAAAATAGCTACGGTAAACAACTGGAAAATTGATGAGATATAATCATTTAAAAAAACTGATTTGCAGTATGTCTTTGTCTATTTCAATTTTATATTTTCTAAAAGTTATATGCAGCATTAACAGAAGTTCCTTTTTACATTCCTTAAGTTACTGTATATTAGTTAATTCTGATTTCATTTAGTAGAAATAAATCTGAAAAAAAATTCTGTGAATTAATCTTTAAAAACATTCCAGCTTGCAATATTTGAAACTCTTTTAGAATCTTTCATACTAAAAAAAAATTCTGGTTGAATTTGAATTAAGTATTTGTTACTTTTTAAATTTAAGTAAAATTTTTATTTTTTTAATAATTTTTAAATGAAACACGCACCAACAGCCTTTAGTTGCATAACTTTCAATGTATGAAGTAGCCATGATTGCAATTATGCATATAAGGATGAGATTTTCAATGGATTAAGTGACAATCGATTAAGTTTCAATGAATTAAGTTATTAGATTGTGACAATGGATAAAGTTTCAACGGATAGAGTTATTATTATTATGACAATGGATTAAGTTCAATTAATATGGTTCATAGCTTGAACATAATTTTTTGTCTCAGAGTGATCAGTGGTCTTCGTATGAAAATAATTAAGATTTTTGTTCACAATCGTACTTACAACCTAGCCAGTTGAAAAAGAAATTTAATCGCATGAAAGTTTTTACCAAAATCAACTACTTTGAACAATTGAGGAGTTTCAATAATCCAAGAAATATGATAAGTTTTTAAAAATCATCTTCTATTCTAGCAAACGGACAAATGCTGGAATAGCCCTCTTATGTTTGGTCATAATCCACTAAACAAAAACGTTCTGACGATATGAAGGGCATCACATGAAATGCGCTCAACAAAAAAGTCAAGGGAATGCTTCCCTGTAAAGGCTGCGAAAAGTAAAGTCCCTGTAAAGCCCGTTGTTTATATGACGCGGACAGGTTATTGAATGTAAATACAAAAGAATTATAGACAACAAAAGGATATTGACAAAGAAATATTTACAGAGGTTGTTTACATATTTTTAGAACGATTTCGGGACTGCATAATTAATGTTTAAAATGTTTACATTTTAGTATATTAAAGTGTTTTTTAAAAGTTCGATCTGAGCTTTTTTTCTGGTCTTTAAGCTTGCATTGTAGTGGGTTTGCGTTTAAAAAGAGCTCTTTTCGAGAGACCAAAGGCACAATAATGCAGAGATGAAATGTCAGGATACTTCGCAGAAGCACACTGAACAAGGAATATATGCAATTCCTGAATAGGTCTTTACTTTTTTAAGGAATGGAGTGATGCATTTGGAGACAGGACTTGTTGCTTTGCCTTGATGAAGTTCCACTCTTTGAAAGTCACTAGGATGTAAAACATTCTCTTGATAGCATGCTCAGCTGATTTAAAATTTTTTCCACTTTTATTGTTTTTAATTTTCAGTTGCAAGAGAACCCTTTTACAATCATAAACCCCTTTTACTTAGTCTCTTAGCACTAAAGGAAACAAGTTTTCAATCTTGGGTATAAACTGATGCCTCATCAAGTGTCCCAATGTATTTATATTTATTTTCTAAACAGGTTTCATACAGAGTTCTAAAATTTGCGCACGTTGAGCCTCATGCCTCGGAAAACGCTACGCTGATCAACATTATGTTTTTTTAGTTTTTTTAAGTAGTAAATCTGGATTTATTTCTTTATTTATTGTTGTCATTGATGTATGTAAAGACTTTATAATTGCTGCGTCAGCAGATTCCCTGTTGTTACCAATGATTTAACACTAGAACAGCACGTATCCTTTTTCGTACATGTGTTTGGTATCTTTTTTCCATGTAAAAGTGATGATTGGCAACTTCTCACTTTTAGATTAATAATGCTGCTTATTTCGCACTTCGAAATTTTAATACCATGCAATCATAACGCTTTTGAGTTATGGAATAGTAATATTGCTCTTTGAAAGTTCAAAAGCCTATTTTTCAATTCACAGTTTGATTAAATGCGACATTTTGAAAGAAGAATACATTTAACCATAGCAAACGATATTTATCATTTCAAATAACAAGCTGTGGCCAAGAAGTTTTATTACGAAACATTTTCTTTTTTAATTCGTTATCAAATTCATTCTAAAAGTGTGATTATACCCTCTGTAGCAGGATAATTTCTTGTAAACCTTTATGACCAAACGGCCATTTTTTTCTAACAACTACTTTCCGCACTGTGCTATATCTTCTTTGCTTTAGTCTAACTATTTCTCTCACCCTGAAGTTAATTCAAATCTTAATTTTATTATTTCTGCTGTTGAGGTACTTGAATAAATAAAGAAAAAGACGAAAACAGTTTATAAATTTTTTATTGATAACACTTGCTTCGAAAACAAGAGCAATGTTATAAGAAGTAGGAAAACATTTAACAATACACCATTTGCACTTGCTATTGAAAATCGCGTCGCTCATTGGCAGATGTTGACGCGTGTTTTTTTCTTTACAATATTAGTTAGCTGGAAACAAGTCATTTGTTAATCGAGACAATGTCTATGGGAGTTGAATTTATGATATTTTGAGAAATATTTTAAAGAATTCTCCCAAAATTTCACCAGGCAAGACCGGCGTTCAAATTGGCTGTACCTTCTTCTAGAGCGGCTCCCATATCTTCATCAGCATTAAAATCAGTTCCATCTAGATCAGCATCCAAATTTTCCAGTCCAGTGTCCAGATCAGTGTTCAAATCAAATCCATCTAGAGCGGTATCCAAACCGGTTAGATCATCTAAATCATCTTCTGTGTCCAGCAAGTCATCGTTGTCGTCAGAAAGACCAGGTAATTGTATAGTCGATAACATGCCCTGAAATATCAAGGAAAATAAATAATTGCTATGTTGAGTTGCTTATCAGACCTTTCAACAAGAAACAAAGTACGAAGTCTTACGAAGTCCTAAATGTAACGTTGTTAAACTCTTTCAGACGGACATATTAACAAAACTGTTATTTTGTTATGATAAGCTATTATCTCTCAGTTAAGTGAGTTGAATTTTTAAAAATGGCAGATGATCGTTTATATTTTAATCTAGATTTATGAAATTGCAAGAAACATTTAAAACTAGGTCTAATTTTAAATTAGATATATATTTTATGTTCATAGAAATCCCCATTTTTCGTAGCTAGGCTTAAACGAAATATAAACATAAAGTTATAAAACTTAAACAAAAATTAGAAGCAGTGAAAGAGACAGGAATTGAAAAATAAACCAATTTCACAATATTTTAAATCAAAGGGAAATATTTTTTCAATTATGTGACTATAGCTATATAATGAATGACTTTTCTGTTTCAGGTTGACTAACCTTTCATTCAGTTTAGTTTCAATGTCATTGAATTTTAACTTTTTGTTGCCTAACCTTTTGTTGAAGTCAAAAATTTACTCTAATTACACATAAACAATGGTTTTGATTCAGCTGCTTGAAAATGTTACGGGAACAATCACACATATTTTAAATAACAAGCATGTGTACATGTATATGCATATAAATAATAATAAATATCAAAATAATCCTCTCTTTTCAAATCATTCGGAAAAGTATCACACGCATAAAACTGGCGATAAGTTTCAATCGAATTCGACTATCAATCGAATTTGATTGATAGAGGCATTAGTGTACCTACTACAGAAGAAATGCATGAAGGACTATCGTTTAAAAATATTATTATAACTTTAGATTATGGTAAAGCACGTTAACGCTATCTTGTCTTATAGGACGGATGCCTTCCTGAAGGATTTTTTTAAAGAAAATTTGCTCTTATTTACGTTATACACATCTGAAAACTGGGAAACCATTCATCCAAATAACAAAGGCTATCAGTTCAAGTCGAATTACCAGTATTCAGACGTTTTATTGCTTGACCACTAGTGGGAAACATCATCTCGGGCAGCATAGTTCTTGTTGCACTTCAAACGGAGTAAACAATCTTAAGGCCATTCAGCGAGGTACAACATTTTAAGTAAAAGAACTTGGTTTTCTTTTATTTGAGAAAGATGACTATAATGCCACAACCAATTTATTTTCCAAATTTTTCATCTCCCTCTCCGCTGTTATTGGTTATTAAGATGGTTCTTCACATCAGACTTTTTAGATAGTTAAAATTATTAAAAAAAATCACAGGATAGTCATGCTAGAATACGTACCAATGAGCTAGTGGAATTCAACTAGCGCTTCCAGGAATGTCAAGAGCGCTGAAGCACGTTTGTGCACTCGAATAGATATTACTTCGAAGTTAATAACTTAAATAGTTAATAACTTTAAAGAAAAAATATTATTTTACATAGTAAGTTTAAATATTTTAATAGTATTCTCTAAAACATTTTACGCAAACATTTGAGTAAAGGAGTACTTATTACCATTGTTATTAATATTATTACTTAGTTTAGATCCTGAAAATAGTTTCGATGGAATGTATGTCTTAATATATTCAAGAAAATAAATTATTCGGAAAATGTATGTATTATTAATATATTTCAAAAGAAAGAAATATAATATTAATATATTTTCACATATTTATTAATATATTTTTCGACCTTATGTATTTATATTATACTGGTGTCTTTGAATTTTAGAGAAATTCATTCTCATGTATATGCGCCAAGATTTGAAAGATTTTATTTACAGCCATCTTAATGAGCTTCATTTTTAAAAGCAGATCAACATCACAAGTCTTCAGTCATTACTAACAGTAAAATTATTTATAAGTTTTTGTTAATCGTTCACCATCACTACTGCCCCTTGCAATACTGTTGGTATCTTCACAAAGGAACTATAATGAAACACAAAAGGAGTTACAACTCGGAGATTGTAGACATTATTAAGTTTTTCGGAATTTGAAAAATGGAAGATAAATCGTACTATTGCCAAGATTCGAATCATGTATCTTCCAGTAGTCTGTTATGTATATGTGGTAGTCGCTTGTACCACGACAGCATGATCAGGAAATATGCGACAATTCATTATATATTTTTTTATCTTGAACAGCGAATGGAAGAGCGATCAGATCTACTCGACCAAATCCAAGGAGGGACGACTTATCGTTCCAGATTTTAGCTCAGGTTCCATTCTAGATACGTTAGATTTTATGTAGCAAGGAAAGATGAGAAATCAAAGGACAAAATTTGAACAATATATATTCCGATTAGCAGCTGTGTGTGTTAACCGCTTAAATCATACAGAACGCACGGCAGAATAATTTCTTATTGACTTTTTTGTTCATCATTCCGTAATATGTAACCCGGTTATCCTATGAGAAATGTTCATTATTATTTCTGGTTTAACTCTTTCCCATCCCGTCAGAATCTCTTCGTGCACACGCTTGATAAAACAGTAGAATTTAAGTCAACGAGGAACTCCTCTTCTACCCCCATTTCAGTAATCTACTAAGAGCGTAGCGGATAAGACTGTTGAATATTGGTTTTTTAACCTGAGTTCAAATCCCAGCTAATATAGGAAAACTACACGAATGTTTTTGTAATTTTTCCAATTTGTTATGTGAATGCTAGTAGGTTTTCGTTAAAAAGTATTTCAGGAAGGCCTCTCTTCCCTTATGCAAATAGTCTCCCCCAGGGGATCGACGTAGAGTACACTGCGAAATACTGCTAGGGTCTGTACCTAGGAAGTCTCGGCCACGGGGGTATAAAATTTATGAATATGGCGGTTCCCGATGGTCCATGGGGTGGTTCTATACTCACTCTTCATGGGCCGGGAGGTGTAAGTCCTCATCCACCAGGTTATTGGTAGCCAAATAGCAAACTGGACCATGGAGAGTATGGTCACTGCTGTCCTTGGTATTCCATGTAAAGCCTAAGGAGAGGGGCATCCTGTGTAGTGCTTTCAGGTAGCCATAATTAATGGCTAGTCATCGCTCCATGTTGTCATCAGCCCACCCCACTGTGGTCTCGGTCCAGCCGGGAAGGTGGTTCTGACTGATCCTGTGTTTAGAGGTGGCTCAGCTAAACTTGAGTGTTTAGCAGAGCGAGCTTAAAAATTTGTTGGTGTCTCGGAGATGTGATACCCTGGGCCCAGCAGGTGTGTGAAAAGTCATCTTCTGGGTGACTCTCGCTGGTGCTCTGTACCAGTCCCCGAATCTTCTTAGTTGAACGGGCGGTGGTATAGAGATTAGTCAGTTATGCACATAGTACTTATGTGCTTTATCTAGTTCAATAATTCAATATGTTTTCAGTATAAAGTACGTATGATTTAAATGTCTGGGCGTGACAAAGTGTATTAATGCTAGTGTAGCATGGTTGTTTATACCATATGAAAATAGAATTAAAATATGAAAGATGAAAGAGTTCTTGAATGAATGTAATATTAACAGGATAGATTGCTGTGTTCGCAGATTTCCAGCAATTAGTCGTGTATATATATATATATATATATATTTCAGTTATAAAAATGTTTTAAGATTCACGTGTTTATATTTTTTAATTAAAAAATAATTCTGCAACTAGGAAATCGAACATTTTATACATTCCTTTCCTCCGATCCTTAATTAGACAATGTTATATTCATTCTAAAAGTAAAATACAAAAATGTTTTACTCTAAAAAATAAAAAATACTTAATTTCAAAATTTTCTTCAAAATTTCAAAAAAAAAAAAAAAAATACTTAATTTTAAATTAATAATTTTCAAAATTTATTTGATTTCAAAATTTTCAAATTTATAAAAAATTTGAAAAAAAAACTTCATTTTAATCACAAATTTTAAAAATATTAATTTTCAAACTTTAATTTTTGATTTTTGAAATTATTTTTAATTTGCCTTGAGGGATCGGTTAGCAAATAAATTATAATAACTTGAAGTTTTTTCGCCTTAAATGTCATTCAACTATATTCTTTAGTGATTCACTGTTGTATAATATTCTTTAATTTATAGTTCTGTTACTACTGGTATGTCGAAAGAAATTTAACTCAAATAATTTATAAGTGAATAAATTGAAACTTTCAAAATATGTTATTGGGTTTTTAATTTAGACAAATGAGTTACGAGTGGGCAATATGACAACCATGAAGCCAAACCTGTATTTTCTAGAACAAGAATTACGTAAGATTCCCTGATTAAGATCTCTTGTTTGATAAAAAATTACAATGATCAATACTTTTTACGTTTAATATGTATAGAAATTCTCGTCAGTTAATTTGTTAGTCTTAGAATCTTTTAATAAACTGATATTTTATTTTTAATTAAGTACAAATGCAAACACTTCGCTCTTCCAATTGTGTCTGGTCCCTGAATACGGTACTCGACATTATTTTTAAGTATCTCGGTGAATCTGAGTCAGAGAATCACATTTTTATTGTTTTCTTTATAATGAGTATACAATATTCTTAGGTCCTAGACGACTGGACGAATGCATAAATAAGTTTAGTAATTTTTACAAAACTTATTTTCTTTAAATCAAAATTGGCGAAAAATCACTAAAATCACTTGCGTCACTAAAAAAATATTTGGAAGTATATGTCTATTGCCAACGTGTAAGAACCGTCTAAGTAGGTATAATATCGGTAAGTACCTTTGTGGGCCTTACCCGATATGATTTTACATAGCAATTAATTTACTTGAGTGTCGTTTAACATAACTATAAAATAGGATAAAAACTTATCTTTAATAAATTGTATAAAGTTGTTTCTTCTAAGTCTTACCAGATAATATCACTTCTATTATACATAGGATACATTTCACCAAATGCTTAAGATTTGTTTTTTTAAAGATTCATTTTTATATGCATAACTCCAAAATATTGATGCAAAAAGGAAAGTGGTTAAAGTATTAATTTACAAAGAATGAGCCTCGTTTCCTTTCCAAAAATAGTTTGCGTCTCATTTGGATATTTGTTCTATTCTCTTGCAGTGATGTTCTGGTTTTTGGAAAAATCCAATGATTATAAAAACAGTTGAATGTAATTGTAAACATACAAAATAAATAAACACATTTTTAATTTGCATACGCAAACGTCCCCCAATCCTTCTATTGTTGTGTCCTAGTTTTGGAAAACAATTGTGAGGCTTCTACATCAAAGGACACCGAATTAGTTTAGTATTTTTCTTTTCGAAACTATAGATTTAATTTTTCATTAAGTTATGATTCATTTCAAGATACATTTTAAAAAATAAAACAGAAAAGAGGTCATTCAAGATACATTATTTTTAATAACAAAATTATAACATTTGCTTTATAAAACGCAAAAAATTATGTATGAAATCTACTATCATATACAGAGTTTGTGAAAACTAAATACTTGTCTAACTAAAATACTACAGTATATAAAAATATAATTTTAAACTAACTGTTTACAGATACCCAGCAACAATTTCAAATTATGTCTGAAGTACGATCATTATCATTCTTCTGCAAAGAATTTAGCTGTTTCCACATTTTTTCAATTTTTATATGCCTTCTTAAAGGTGATAACTAAATTAATACAGTGTGTGGCAAACAGATGACATCCCCCCTTCACGAAGATAGACTCTATAATTGACCGAACTATTGCGAAGAGCAACGTAGCCGGTTCCAGAATTAAAGCCCGAGGGCACATGGCATAAAGAAATCCTGACGTGTGGGGGGGGGAATTCAGAGGAGAAAACGGAGAAAAGGGGAAAAAGGAGGACGACAATCCAATCAGACAAGTTCGCAAAACGTGACGAGCGATAAGAGCTTTCAAGAAGGATCCAAGACAATGCAATTTCAATGACAACAATATGAGAAAGATACTCTGTAGCAATGGTTTCAATGACAATTTCAAGTTCCTAAAACAACCTCAATCAAAACAACTAAATACAACACAATGCAATACAACGATACAACACTATTCGCTACAGCAATACTACAATAGCCTAGGCTACAAAGTTACAACACAACAATTGCATCACAACAATGCAAAAAACTCACAACAACAGTTACAACAATTTCCAAGGACAATATTCATACTACAGAAGAACTTCAATCAAGATCATATGCATTGGAAGTATAAACAGCTACCAATTGAGGAGCTAAGTGATAAAGTTGTCATCTCCTCCCATGAAGGTTTGAGCTGCTAGTGGTCAGACGCTTCTATCTTCGAAGAGAATTTCAAAATTAAAGACTTGAGAGTAATTAACTTTGCGAAGATAGCGTTATTGTCCCCTCCTATATAGTCGGCAGACGAAAAGGAGACCATCACCGCGCGCATGCGCAGATACATTTCAGCTGAGCCTTAATTTTCTTAGAGTTGCGTTCTAAATTTGTAGATAGAAGATGCGAAGAATAAAATGTTGGTGTGTTAAAATGTGTCGTCTCAGTTTTTTCGAACCTGTAAGTTATTTATTAAGCAACACAGTGTATGAGAATATAATTTTAGATTAACTGATTAAAGATACTCAGCAACGATAGAAAATTATAGCCGATATATGGGTCGCAGCCATTATCATTCTACTGCAGTGGTGTAGTCGAATCCATTATCACTCTGCTGCATAAAAATCTAGAAAGACATGATCGAAGCCACTATCATTTTACTGGAAAGTATTTAGCTGCTTCAACATTAAAGTGATTTTTCTATGCCTTCTTACTAATGATATGCATAATTCTACCACTGTAAACTGCATGTCCTTCTTAAGTTTTAATGTTTTATCCAGCAGATTATGTGCATGCATATCAACTTTTCTAATGTTAATTATACTATGTTAAATAAACAAGCTATTTATGCTAGGATATGTTTTAATAAAAGATTACGTGTGCTATTCTACCACTCATTACTGGCTGAAACCAAGCAACCACACCAAGAAAGAAATTTCATCACTTTACAAGTTAAGTAAATATATTATATTTTCTTAACTTGTATTGGAGTAATTATATAATGCATTGGAGAATATTGGAGACATGCCGTTCGTAGCTTATTGAAGCAGATGCCATAATACGACACGGCTTCATATTCAATACGAAACACTGTAATGAACTCTATCATTGCGTGTCTCAATCATAGTTTTGTAATTCATGAGGGTTTCACAAGCATAAGCAGCTTAACCAGAAGCTTTCAGCTCATTAGTGTTTCATTTTAGTTCTCATTAGACTGCTAAAGTAAGCAGTCTTAAAAGTCGTTTTTCTTTCAATCAAGCTACAGTTCGAAAGATAGCTATCGTTATTTTGAGCGTAAGGGTATATCAGACGCGCTTTCCAAATACCGAACAAAACGCTGGCTCAAAGAGAGAGATAGACAGATAGTTGTTTATGACCAAAATTTGCTCATTATTGTTCTATTCTCAAAGAATATTATTGTGTCTTTGTGTCTGTATCTGTTTACTTAACAGAAGGACAGAATGAAAGACTTGCAGAGCCACTAGCTACGCAAAGGATTTTATTTTTCTCACGAAGCTTATCTATTGCAAGACACAAGTCGTTTGAAATTGCTAAAAGGACTCAAAAGAAGTTACCCAAGTATGTCTTTTAGTGGTTTTCGAGTTTTCGACAGGAGTTTTTTTTTTAAGCTAATAACGTATAAATATAAAATTGCAGTGTAAGTGTATGCTCAAAACAACTCTGAAAGGCTATAATTTTTTTCAAATACTACATCAGCGTTTTCGGTTCGTCGGAGCGGTCTCAAAAACCACTATCAGTTAGATCGAAAGCAGCAAATCCAACATATTGCGAAGAAATTTAGCTTGTTCTTTAACTAGAGAAGAAGTAGAGGACTCGGACTCGAAGTACAGCCTTCATCGAAACAGATTGATTATTACGAAATATTGCACGGTCAAAATAAATTTTGATGATAAGGAGTTATTGAGGATTAAACGGAATATAAGGAAATCGATACTCATGTAAAAATTTTAAAGGTGTTGACTAACTGGGACATGTGGTTACTGCTAAAAGTTCTTCAAGCTAGAGCACACAGGTGTTACACAAGCAATTGGAAAACTTTTAAGCATTATTCACATATATTAAAATAGAAGCAATATGAAATAGTACAGAATTTGTATGATGCAAGAAACAAAATAGAAACATAATGAGTTATTTACACATTATTACTTAATAGGTCCATTGACCGCTTCATATAGTTGTGAGCATTGTATTCATAATCTTAGATAGGAAGGATGCTATTGTTTGAATTCCTAAGATTCAAAAGGAAAATGTGTGCCAGGTGATGGAACTAGGCACGAAATTGTGATATGCCAAATTCTTCATAGATTACAGAAGATTTTTCATGGGATGAAGGTCCGCACAATCTGAAGTTACTTCTAATTGGTTTTGCAAGAATATGCAAAACAGGCATAATTGAACATTGGACGCAGTATGATTTTGTTAAATGTGCAACTTGCCTTCAAGAGATAAAACGCCGTTAGTTGGTTCGTTAAATGAATTTACTAAATGAACAAACTCTTCCTGCATGCAAACTTAGCTTTTTGAATAGAGTAGTGGGTATCGATACTTAGTTGCAGTTATTTAAACATTAAGCTGATTTTTTAAGATTTCCTGCTTCAGAAATCTTAATGGCTGTACAAGCGCTCGGATTAAAATGTAAAGAAATATAATTCATTAGTAATTGATTAGCCAACAAGGTACCGCCTCCTTTCCACAGTGGCTCTTTTAGGCAGCAGAACGTTAAAGAAGTAATAAATTAATGTATGCTATTCCCGCGCAGAGATCAGACTCTAGTTCAATTGCTAGCAAAGGCATGACTAATTTTCTATCAAAAATCTTAATGACTCAAAAAGCAAGATGTGAGAGAAATTGCATTAAATAATGTTGTTCAGCTGCAACTCAGAACGATTGTGATTCATTATCGGGAAAACCGTCTATGATTAAACATTTAATAAAAAGAGCTAAAAATATATGTTTTCGCATAGAGAGTATATTTGTTAAGTTTTCGATCAAAATCTCTATTATCGTTGAAACTTGAACAATGATATTAGAAAGTGTTACCTGAACATCGTCTTCATTGATTGCTTGATATCTTTCATCATAATCTCCCAGTCCATAATGAATGCTTTTCAGTATTGGGTATCTGTGTCCAAAGCAATTACCTAGAAGAAATTAATAGGGGCTGTTATTAGGAAAAATAACAAATATTGCTTCCACACACATATGTTGAAATGCATACTGCGAGATTTTTCATGCTTTTGTAAAATTTAACTTAGTTATACTTCAAGGAGTCATCTTATAGACTAGCAGTGTTGAGCCTATTATAAACATACGCTTCTGGCAAGGCTGTGAGTTAAGCCCTGAAAACTCATTTATACTAGATATAATAATTAAGTCACTACAATTTCAGTACTGCAACTGATTAATTTCTGAGAAATGACAAATGGAATGTTAAGTTGTTAGGAATAGCTGCACATTTTCCCACTCCTTTTTCTTAAATATCGAATTTTTCCATCACACAAGCTCATATTAAAAATAAATTAAAACAAAAACAATAAAATTATGTCTATAATTTTATGAGGTAAAAGTATAATATGCTTACAATACTGCAAGAGATATAATAAAATATAATATATAATATGCTTACAATACTGCAAAATGAGTTAAATAGTTTACTTCAAATTTATGTCTGTGTACATGTAATACTGCATTCATGGTAAATTAAATTAGCGCACAGGAAGGAGCTATTAAACACACTGAAAGTTAGGAGATCTAACGAAACATGTGAAAGATATACATAATCTTAAAACAGGGCAGATAGCAAACTACATGCAGGCCTTAGTTTTATCCTCCTCAATAAGATATTGAACAAACGCATGTTGAGATACAAGTTATATAACATGACTTGATATGAATCCAAAAGACTGCTGGTATTGTCCTGTAGTAGATATACTCACGCCAGTTGTTTGGCCTGTTCTAAATCTCGCATATTGCATGGCGGCAGGCCATGTGTATCTATAGGGCAGCTCTCCCTGTGGACGATTTTGAAAGGATAGGCTATGAAAATGTCTATATGACACAGAGAATCTTGGACTATCTGTGTTGAATGCAATAGGCATTATCCTAGCGGTAAACGTTTCGGGACCCTTTGCTATATATTCTGTTAGACACAGTGCTGAACTATCAATACTCCACGAAGCATTACTAGAACAGTCAAACTGTCATAGAATATAACTCACAGGCTATAAGTTTTGCTACACTGCTTGCTTGAAGATCTCCACATCCGGACATGATGGTTATTCAAACACAAAACGGACCTTTTCTTAGAACTGAACGACACGTTTTGCTACTCTGCGGTGCTCTAGCCTGACAGTACGGAGCTGCCGATGGTCTAGTATTTGCTACACTGCTTGCTTGAAGATCTCCACATCCGGACATGATGGTTATTTGAACACAAAACGGACCTTTTCTTAGAACTGAACGACACGTTTTGCTACTCTGCGGTGCTCTAGCCTGACAGTACGGAGCTGCCGATGGTCTAGTATTAAAGGCTGAACACGTTTTTGCGGCTGGGATAGCAGATCCGCTTCTTGAAGAAATCTCATTGTAGTATCTACCTTCGTTTCAGTTACTATAGCTGTCTACAGAGTGAATCAGAGAACCCCTCTGACAGCACGTATCCAGTGAAACGATTCTCTATTCTCTGCCGATGGTCTGCCTAGTCCTTCTTGAGTCGGCCCGCCGCTTATTATTATATTCGCATGTCGTCTGTCGCAAATACTGTCGGATCCTATTACGAATGTTTTTAAGTGCAGCATGGGGAACCACAAAATAATGTCCAACTAAAAGTCGTTTAGTTGTGGTAAGGAAAGGTAGAACAACGAAGTGCAAAATGTTTTGAGCAGACTAGTATAGAATGTTCCCGCAATCTTAACTGTGATGAGCAGCAACTTAGTTTTAACATCAGTGCGTTATTTTTGATAAAACATTCCCATGGCATCACAAGCAAAGAGGACTTTATTATACACAATTATTCCGTTGAGTTATTTCTAAAGTTTAAATTCTGTTGTTGATGTTGCTAAAGTGTAGCGCCAGGCGCAATGAGAAAAGCATTTTCCCTTTGTAGCACTAGATGATTTCGACCAATTCATAGTTTTCTTAAAGTTTCAATTAAATTTCATTGACAAAGAGTGACTTTTACACGATCTCATTCTCACACAAAATTATGTCTAAATTGTTTAAGAATTTTTTAAAAAAACAATTGATAACGAAAATAAATCACTCCTTACCAGGACATCGCTTTTTTTTAAAGTGAATTTAGATTATTCTTATGCATTCAAAACTATTTAAATCGTAGACAAATTAAAATTAATAAAAGTTTGTAAAAGTGAGCCTTAGCATAAATTAACTAACGCAGCTCTGAAAAACTGCAAAAAGTTGAAATTAAATTGATGTAACAATTTGAAATAATTGAAACTCATATTTTCAGAGAGCAAAAATTTAAAATTTTTCAATCGCTTACAACAAGACCGAAGATGTGTTTCAGTTCTCTTTGATAGTCAAAAATCATTCTGAATTTGAATTAATGTTAAAAGGGCTTTTAAAAACGAAAAATATTGCACCAACGTATTTCGGAATTCATTAAATTCCAAATGGAAGAACAAAATAATTTAAATATGTAATTAATGTAAAGCAGTGCAAAGAAAGGACAGTAAAATTTCAATGGGCAGTGATTGCACCGGACAACAAAAAAATGCTGGAAAACACGTGAAAAGTGAAAAAATTAAAGTAATGCATTACACACACTTAGAATTAATTACATATAATTCACATCGCAATTACACAAGAAAAGATTTAAATAGATTAAAAATAGAGAAATAAAATTTATCTACGAATTTTAAGGCTCAGTTTCACAATTTTTTTTTTAAATTTCAGTTTGTTTACGATTTGAATAACATCGAATTTAGTAGAATAATGAAAATTCACTTTTTAAAAGAGTTGATATCCTGGCTAGTAGTGATTTATTTCCCTAATTTTTATTGTTTACCTAATCGTACCCGTTTTAGAAGCTGTGGACTTTTGTTTTATAATTCTTATTTTTTATCTAATTCAAGTTTTATATTAAATAAATAAGTAAGGCTTCTTCTAATGCAATTTATAACATTTTCCGAGGATAGTATAATCTTCTAATTTGTAATTTTTAAGTTTTGATATATATGTGAAAAGGTATCCACACTTAAAGCTGCATCTGAGAGCTTAAAGTTATCTATTTTGAAAAGATGAGAGAAGCGAATTGCCAGTTCTATTCATAGATATATGACGTAATATTTAAGTAAAAATTAAAACCTAAAATAGTGCGCGTATTTCATCGAAAAACAAGATTTTATATTAAATTAAGTGACGTATTAGTCATGCCGAATTACTTATCCTCACAAAAGCATAATTATTAAAGAAAATTGGAATGTCGAATCAGCATCACAATAGAGCGATTTCGCTCATTAAGGAACAAATAATACAAATTTGGTTTTAAAAAATGTTGCTTACATTAGCTGAAGAACATTATTTAATGCAATGAAGTAGTAAAAGAATAATCTAATTTTGAATAATGTAGCAAGTCCACAGATACTATGCTAGCAAGATATTGCAATAAATTCAATATTATGATGATTATTGGAAAATTCCATTTTGAATTGTTCGAAGAAAAATTAAAGCATAAATAAAAATCAACTTTTTTAATATTTTGTCTATATATCAAGTACAGAAATTTGCCTGCATACCTTCATAATCATCTGTAGAGAAGAACCTGTATGCTACACCCCCGAGGCCATAATAGCGAACATATCTCGATTTCAGTATAGCTGTTCTGGTCGTGTCATAACTCACCCACTGATCATCTTTGGTAGCATAAATTCCAATTAAACCGTTCGAAAATTCAGTCCAGCCATCATCTGGACATATCTACACAAGATATATAGTCATATTTTTAAATAGGATAATTTTTGATAATAAAGCATCATATTGAGTAAAACATATATAAAATATTACACACACTACCAAATAAAATATTTAAAATATGATTCGTCAAACATGTGTTTAATCTCAGATGTAAAACATTATATAAGTATGAGCCCAGGAATATTAAAAATATTACAAAGAATAGATGTAATACACTTCGTGAATTTTTATACTGTTTATTTCATTTTTTGTGTGTTAGGGTCACGTTAGAGTAGATAATATCTTGAGGATTAATTAAAATTTAAAAATATTGATTTTTATTTATTGCATTTTTAACGGGCTTTAATTAATAATTTTGTAATACCTACTTGTTTATCTTCTAATGTTACAACCGAAGTACGTGTAGGAACTACACAGGAGAAGGGTAAAAAGAAACCTTTATTAACTCTTTAAAATTCACAATACGTCGACTTGACGCTAACACACTACGCCCCACTCGAGCGGCAACTCAAATAACAAGAACTAGACTACAAAATTCGAGGATATTAACAAGTAGTAGAATTCTCTACAGGGCTCAGATACTTCTGTTACTTAAAACCGCGTCGAAATTCTACTGGCAGCTAAGTAATAGCTGTTACGCCACGTTAACCAACAATTAAATGCAGAAACAGAAGTTCACGCTATAAAAATACAGCGCTTGCCCAAACTCTCTAACTTTTCATTCTAGAACTCGGTATTTAAACCTTTTCCCCTCAAGGTAGAATTTGCATTACTTCACGCGCGCTACCAAATTTAAATATTCTGCCATAGACAATTAGAGAAATGAAGACTTATAGGAAAGAATATGTAACTTAAACTTTAACTCGTTAGAAAATAAATATAAATTCCTACAATCTGATTAAATTAATTTTATATTTGGCACTTTTATTCCGATTACTTCAAGAATTCACATTCATCCAGGTATATTTCAAAAACGTGGCTCTGCCGCGAATTCTTTGGCTGGTCCTTGAAAGCGAACAAGGAATTTTCAACAGCGTATTATATTAATTTAATTATGTTATTTTACTGCATTGTTCGGCTTCAGTTTTCGTGTATGTACTTCCTATTAGAGTGTTAACTCTTTTTTATATGTAATTAATATCTCTTGATTATTCAATTAATTTTGTAGCATATTATGCACTGCGCAACTGCAATAATTTATAATCTTAATTTAAAATTTCTAATTTTTTTATACATATAATGAAAAAAAATTCTTAATTTTATACTTCCTCAAGAAGCAAAATAATAACATTTTAAGTGTCAAAATAAATAAACGGTCAGTCCATTAAGTTTAAGACATAAAACCTTACTTAAATAATAAGTACTCAATTAAAATAAATAAATAAATAATAATTAAAAAATTTTAAATATTAGAACAATAAAAAATTGCTTTACACACGCTTTCATTGGCAGGGGAGACGTGTTTAAATTAATCTTAATGAATCTAGTATACATAAAAGCTATATTTCTGAAATTAGACATGATAAAGTAAAGATTCTGAATGGCTAATAGACATCCATAATAATAATAATAATAAAACAAATTGTGGCTTTGTGCTGCATTATTCTGCCCCAAAATACCTTTAAAACATATACAGGACTTACTCAGGATGCCTTATATGTTAACGATTATTCAAGCAGAACTTCCATGCTGTGGACGCCTGGCAACTTGAATAAAAAGAGTACTCTGTTAAAAGTAATTCTTAAAACTGCTGTCATTCGTGAGTAAATAGGCTAAACTGGATGAAGCTGCTCAAAATTTTTATGCATTTTTTTTTTCAAAGTGAAAAAAAAAATGTAACTATTTCATTAATGGCAAATGACTAGCGATTACCAAGATGACAAACAAGTAGTTAACATAGATTTAACTATATATGATTCGTTCGTCAAACATCTTACAAAATTCTTCTAGCTTCATTGCGGAAATGCTGTAGCGATTCTGAGAGCTAATCAGAAGCTAGCACCACAAAACAGTTCAAATATCAAAAAGTGTCTCACGAGAATTGTGATATTATCATAGCTCACACGAACCAGACCCACAAGCGAATCCCAGATCGTTCATTAATGCCGAGAACATCGGAAACACGTGTCACGTATTTTCCACAAGCGACTGCATATCCAGCAGCACCAAGGAACTTTACGTCTTGGGACCATCCCAAGGCCTACATTTAAATATCATTCAAATATTCCGTGGGTATTTGAACGAAGTGAACTACTGCTGTGCGCATTAAACTACTCTAGTTGAATTGCAGAATTAGTTATTGAAAAAAATCTGATGAAAATTTATATTATTTCTATTCGAAACTCTAGTGGCAGCCTTCCGATTCTATTTGTGAACTATTTTTATTCTCTTATCTCAAGAAAAATGTTTTTCTGTTATGCAAGATTATGTCCTGGAGGAATTAACTTTTGCGAATCATTTTACATAAATAGCTATTTTTTAAAAATTTACGGTGACATAGCCATATTGAAATCTAAATTGTTATAAAAATATGTACAGCATGAGTAATAATATTGAATATGATTACTTCGTTATAGCCAAGTAAGCCTTCACGTTGAGTTAACGATCCCGCTAGGCCTGGGCCACGAGCATCAGCATCAAGACCATTACTGTTTTTATCAGCCAATGTCCATGTCCTTCCATAAGATGGGATACCCATGACTAACTTTGACCTTCTAGCACCTAAATCTATCCAGTGATTTGCTGCTAAATCCTGAAATAAATAAACTTGCATAAAATATTTGTTTACATGAAAATATAAGGAATTTACGTAATTTCAGAATTTCTAAAGATATATTATGATAAACTTCATTTTTTAAAATTCACAATAACAAAAAATGAGCTTAGTTATGATACTGTACAACACCAGTAAATTAAACTATATCACAAAAAAGAAGGAAACAAAAATCTGAAAACTTTCAGATTTTATATTACGCCCAAAGAGACTTTTTTAATGTTTAATGTGTTTCTTTCATTTATTAAATATCATGCTCTTCGCACTTAAACCATAAAATTAATCTCAACAGCAAAATCACAAAATATTTAAAAAAAGCATATCTTTAGAATACACAGTCTCGCGCGCTAGAGATAAAAATGTTTCTTTTTGTACATTGTTGTCATTGCTCGCTTTGAAATCGTTGAGTTTCGTAATCAAAAACTCATAAATTCTTCACAAAATATGAAATAGACTATAAAACAAATTCCAAATTCCAAATATGTTCTTCCAAATGCCGATCATTGGAGAATTACGTTATTTAAAATTTGATAGCCCTAGGTACCGTTGTTTTTCACGGTGCGAGAAACATGCATACATTCATGCAAATTTTACGTTAACCTTTTGAAGCCGGGGCTTTCGTAGCAGTAAAAGCTACCAAAGGACGGGGAATCTTGAACCGAATACTTTCCCCTCTTTAAGAAATCACCTCCTATTTGCAACAAAGATTCTTGTGTGTAGTTTAATGGATTCTCAGAGGGTTGCATCTATGTCACAAAAGGAAGACCTTTGAAGGAGATAAGTGGTTAAAACCCTAGGGACGTCAAATTTGACATTTCACCCCACTTTTCAGCCTGGAAAATGGGGAAAAAAGACATGGCCACTAAAGTGGACAAACCCGTGTTTTCAAAGAGAGGACTCTATGGCCACTATAATTGCCATCCCGTCTTCAAAAGGTTAAGTATATATCGATTCATCGTGTTAACAAATAGCACAGTAACGTTTTCTGCAATATGTAACTAAGAATGTGATCTGTTTGCCATCTTATATTATTGAAAAATATAATATTTGTTTCAACCTTTTGTTCAACTTATTCCACACCATTTAGTTTTCAGTTTTTCCCTTTTTTTTTTTTTTTTTTTTTTTACTAAAGGTTTATCTTAGATATCATTCCACTATTTCCAACAAAAACTCAGCTAGTATGACATAAGGGTTTTCTTAATGCTGCTGAAAGTTGCCGACAGACAAAATTAGGGAGTGCTACATAGTCAGCAAGAAAACTATAATGTAAATTCGTTAATTTTGTATAAATGTACTGCAAGGGATTGCGTTAGAAGATTTTAACGATTAGAAATTTGCTTTATGATGTCCTTCGTATGCTTATTCTCAGATGCTAGAGATAGAATTTTAGTCTAGCATTTGGTAGACTATCGACAATATATCGAGAGGGGGAAGCTTTCAGTTTGTTGAACGTTTAATCACGTCTAGTAAACACGAATGATCAGCATGTATTGTTGATTGAATCTGGAAAGTAAGCAACGTCAAGTCGATGAAATTCTCAGTGTGAATTTAATGTACGGGAGTGACAAAGATAAGACAAAGTCAAGATTATTAATTAAAAATTGCTAGGGGATATTATCATTACGTGTCCTATAAATCTGGCAATTGGGCAAAAATTTAAATATAAACCTCAATTTTAAGACTCTTTTACGGTTTCGCCAACAGATGGCGCCACTTGCTTATTCTTGTCCAGGCTTTCTTATCTTATCCCATCATTATTTCCTCTCTTGTTCATTTGCGGTTTTGCAGCTGAAGATGATGGTTCGGTAAAACCATCGAAACTAGTCCTGTGAAAATTTTGTAGGTATAACGCTGATTTTTGTTGTTTGACTTCTGAATTAGTCTTTTACGGGTATTAGGAAAATTTACAGTCCTTCTGGTTTGCCTCTCCCTGACTGCTCACAGTGACTCATGTGCTCAAGGTTTCTGCAACGCAAAGTGTACTGTCATCTTTTAATAACTTCCAAGCTACTTTTGGTCAGTTGCCATCAGTACCCATATCACTGTATCTTCCGATCACCCAAGTATCTTCCGACGAGCTGTCAGCTAAACTCCGTATGGCTGACATCCCGGTCGGAGGTCAACTCGAGAGGCGACCAGTCCGTCCGCTTAATTTTTCGTGTTGCTTGACATTTATTGCTCTACCCAAACAAGGAAATTTGCTTTGTGGGGTTCCAACCTTTTCTCTAACAGCTAAGTGTATAGGAACCTTGTGAACAGGTAAGCGAATATTAGTTCAGGAACAGATACGTAAACTCAGGAAGGGTTAATTACCCTTTATTTCTCAAAATAAGAATTTAATAGTCGGCTCTTTTCACAGAGCGTACAACAAAGCCTCCACTTGGGCTTGAACTCAAATATTAATTAAAACACTTAACTAATGCTTAACTAAAAAGATATATAGCCGAAGCTATCAAAATTTTAAGTAGTTGACCCGTAAATATCACCTAGCCTGGCGAAGCTATCAAGGCCTGAAATACGGCAGAATGTACTAATAGCTTAGAGAGAGTGTAGCCACAAAGCAAAAGCGCGCTAGTTATGATCTCTGACTCTCTAAGGAAGTCAGTGAAACTTCGACTTAAATACCGCTCTTACTCATTCTAAAAACACATTCCGGTAGGAAATTGTAAGCTGAAATTAGGAGGGGTAGGAAAGTAGCTTTAACTAAAGATAACTGTTAAATACTTAGGCTAAACCTTACAGCATTTCACGCAGCATAGAAAGGTATTGCCATTTTATGACACGGAAGATCTTCCCTTTATCATCTATACTAAGAATCAAATTTAGAGTTCTTAATAATTTCTTAATAATTAAAATTTAGAGTTAATAACTTAAGAACCTCAATTTAGCTTTCGCAATCGAGGTTGTTCATTGAGCAACTAAACAAGTCATATGAATACAATATTATTACATCTTAGCAATATATATCTTTATTTCGTATGTGAATAACATTCTTTATTTAATGCTATTTATACATGGCGAGTTCATAAAGTAATAGGGCAAATTAAGAGACTCAAACTTATTGGATTGAATTAAATCTACGTCGCTGACAGCGCATAAATCACAATAGAATAAATGCATTCTTTAAAATTCACTCTATTTGTTTACCATAGCGACACTCTGGCGCTAGGTTCATTTAACAGTATTATATTTCGTTCATATTATAACTCAGAATGCACAAAATTTATATCATTTAAAGAATTATCTAATCGTTGCCACATGTTCTATTCAAAATACTATAATAAAGCTAGAAAGATTTATAAAAGAGATTAAGGAAACAAAACAAAAAGGAAATAGTTTTTCACAGACGATTGAGTATTTCTCATTCAATTAATTCAGTTCTCACTTCGCGACAAGGCAAAAATGCATAAAAACTCAAAATATCTGTATTAAAACTTACGAAGTAAATCTTAAACACTTATTTCCTCGAAAAAATTCCAGAAAGGATTAAGCATGATTTAATTCGCAATAATAAGTGAAGGCGTTATCTTTGTTGATGCGAAGCTAAGTTTCCCTAGATTGGCAACAAATCCACTATCCTGCTGTTTTAAATGTAAACAAGCAATGGCCGCCATCAAAAAAATTATTAGGCTTAGCGGCACTTAAACAACTTTAAAATTGTTGATAATTCTAAAATTATTGCATACAGATTAACTAAAGGCCTTAACCGGAAGATAAGAACAACATAATTCAATCATTTTTAAAGCAAAAAATGTACAATTTACAAACAAGTAAGACAAAAGAAACTGAGATCACTGAGCCGGGTAACAAAGTGGATATATATATATAAATATATTTATATACGCTTGGTGCAGTCGATTGCAACCAAAATACGAGGTGCACATCTACATGTTATAGCAGTCCTATATACAAAATTTCAACGTTCTGAGGCTAATCGTTTTTGAGTTATGCGAGATACGTACGTACGTACATACGTTTGTACAGACGCCATGAAAAATTCTCTTCAGAATTCATTTTAAAGCAGTTTTATAATTTTTTTGGAGGAAAAAGAGTCTTTTATTCCGTCCTTACATATCACGCAAAAACATATCACGCATCGTTAAATTGCACTCGATAGTGGTCAAAATGGATATTTTCGTTGAAATATGCTGCCTGAAACTTTTCGCGATTACAATACTTCCTTTTTACTTCGTACAAGGAAGTAAAAAATGAAAGAATAAATGCACGTTTAGGAGGAGTGACATCTCAAATCTTGTTAAAGCTAATTTAAACTAGTTATTTTGTCCTTTGCATATCAAAATGTCGGAGTCATTTTTCATTTCTTGAAAAGACAATGTACAAAAAATTTATTTCGAGATGGAATAAAAATAAGATTCCATTTTGTTACAAATTAGGTAAATCTGCTACCGAAACTTTAGAGATAATTCGAACTGTATGTGGTAATGTATAGTTATCAAGACACAAATATATGAACATTCCCTTCATATGTGGGTGCAAAAGCAGCGAAAATGAAACAAAGGTGAACCTAAGGTGATGTTGACTACAATCCAGCCACAAATTCGTCTCTGAAAATTAATCACTTAATCAGTATTTTTATAAGGAGAATTTTGTATAAGGAATAAGATAAGATTTATTCGATTAAGAACTAAGATAAGAAGAGTTAGAAAGGAACCTTTTGATTCTGGATAATGATAATGCTAGACCATATACAACATTTTCTGTAAAACAATTTTTTTCCGAAGCTTAAAATGACAGAAAAAAAGTCTCGGGTATTAAATCAAATGTTGCTCGTTTTTTGCAAATGGTTCGTCCCAACATCTATAAACAATTTTTGATGACCTGAAGAAATGTTGCAAAATTATATAGACTCCATTAGGGATTATTTTGAAGGAGATAAATTTATTTGAAGATTAGTAATCTTTTCCTTATTTACAAGAAACTTTGTGGTTACTTTAGGAACGTGCTTTGAATTGTATCTTATTTATAAGATTTACATGCATTTATTTCTTCTTTATAATCGATAAATTTGCTTTTAAGACCGTTCCTGTAGCCAAGCTCAGAAAAATTGTTTGAGATGCCGATCAGGCATCAACTTTTGTAACAAAATGCATTTCTGTTATCAAACGGGATGGCTATAGAGGCAAACAGTAGTTGTCTCTTTAGCCAATTAAGCCTTTTTGTAACGCAGTTTCAGTTATTAAAATGGACCTCTGCATTCACAGTCAATTTAGCAACTGGAAAAACGCTTGTTGTATCTAATTTAAAGATGTAGATGTAAACAGGTATTTGATGACATTATTAGTACGTAGATCATTTTCCAAATGTTTGTTGAATATTAGTATGTTGATCCAGATGAAAATTGCTGTATAAGGGGGTCCACAACTGAATTGAGAACTTTAATCAAAATTTAAGTCCAACTTACTGATTAATATTAAGAATAAGTTTTTATCCAGCCTTACATTTTCAGTTTATTACATTTTAAATCTTTAGTTAACCAAATTGTTTTATTTTTTTTATTTTTATTTATTTTTTTTTTATTTTTAAAGAAAAGAGGGAAAATAGCTGAAAGAAATTATTTATTGCTATCTAAACGTAAATTGCAACTCAGAATTCCGAAAAAATTTGAATTTTCTTGTTGATTTAAAAGCTTTTGCAATATACAAAACAGGCATATATATCAGATCAGACGGCTAATTCAATACGTTTCACTCTTCGCTTCACTATTGATAACCGCTCTTGATTCAACCGTCGTTCCCAATATTTTTCATTAAGATTATTGTTAATGAGCGGTGAGTCATGAAAAAGAACTGATTGATTTCAGTTAGCAAACGATTCTGATCCGATCAAGATCGGTTTTGCCCATCGCTTATCACTATATGAATTGGCATTGTGACAGATACGTTAATATAATAAATAGTAAAAAAATGTTAAGAGCAGTTTGATGAAAAAAATATTACATACGAAATTAGGTGAAGCATCCAAATTACTTGAACTATTATAGAACTGTGAGTGATGTCCAGTTTTTGATTCCTCTCCACGGTGTAAATCATACGTCAACACATTAACGTAATCCACAAGCCTAGAAAATAAAAACGATATTGAGCAAAAGGCAGTGATCATGACCTGGCAAAGTAGTGTGAAAACATGAAATTGGTATAATAATATTATTTAAATGCAAATTGTTGTTGAATATATTGAATGAGAAATAATAAATTTAAATTATAAGTAAAATCAATTGCCTTGCGAATTCCCCCCTCAGCTTTGTAGCTCCATGTTCTGAAAAATCTTGAAAATATTCGCATCATTTTCCCTCTTCCTTTATTATACTTAGGTTTTCCTTGTGAGGGCTACTTTATTGGTAAATTGTACTATCTTGATTATTTTAATTTTTTATTCTGTGTATTCAGTTTGTATTTGCCTTTTTGTATCAGCATTTCATCCATTTTATTTTCGATTGCATTTACTATTTGAAACTCAGATTTATTCTCCCTTTTCAAAATATTCTCGAAAGCCTGATAGAGAGCGCGCTTAAATTCTGTTGTTCACGGTTCTGGAAAGTTCTACACTGTTTTAAAGAGTAAACTAACCCGACTCCATCAACCGGTTTTAATAGGAACTGATAATGAGAACACAACATGGGTGACGTGAACCTAAGATGGGACGTGGACATAAAATGGGTATAGCTCCTAATGGCTTCTCAGACAGTCTTTAGCAAATGCATTCTCTTAGTTATTTCGTATTTTATTAATGAAGAGGTGGAGCTGATTGCATTTAAATGTAAAGGTACTCCATGATCAAAACGCTTTGGTTCTTGGTCCTAGGATAGGTGACGTGATTTCAAAACTGAAACTGTGTAGAAATATTAATATTTCTTTTTTTAAGAAGCAGTTCTAAATTCCTTGCTTAAGATGTATCACTACCACTGATAGAAGAAATGCAAAAACCGCGACGAGAACAAATAAGTTGGGAGTCATGAGCCAGACGGTATTTCGGTATTTCTCCCACTTCCCTAGCGTGCCTTCGGGGTGTAACGGTAGCACGCTGGGCCGGGTATTCCAGAGGTCCGTGGTTCGATTCCCGGCGAAGGCGGTTGCATATTTTTCATCTTTTCTGCTTCCAATTAACCTAATGACTCTACAATATAAATGCCTTAATTCTGGATCCCACTTAGTGGGTTTTAAAAATGTTATGCAGATCATAACCTTCCTGTTGTTTTGAAAGTGTACCAAATTATATCAAAATCGAAACAAAACGGTAGATTGGTATGAAAGACAAACATTGAGACACTCTTCTTTATGTATATAGATAGATAATGTACTTACTTAGTTACCTCAGGCACATCGTACCCTGCATCGATATGTTCAACAACAGCAGAAACGCTAGCTGTTAGTAAAAGATCCTCCTTATCGAAAGCTTTGCGCAATTCCTGAAATATTTCAATGCATTAATTGCGATTAAGTTGTGATAAATTGAACAATGTATAGTCACCATTAATTTACAACATTTACTCACACTTTTTACAGATGAAATTTACATTATTACTGCCCTTTCTCTTGTTTTACATTTGTAAGATTAACTCTAATTAACAATTATTATGTCAAATTCTGCCCCTGCACTTCCACTCATTAGGAACAAAAATCTAAATTTATAAGAGAGGGTTCAGAACCTCTGTTTATTAAGCATTTTCTGTTTCTTTACTGCGTGCCTTCATAACGCAATCGGAAGCATGTCCGGCTAGCAATTGGGAGTCAAATCCGGAGTCCGGCAGGTGCGGAGTTAAACTCCTGGCAAAGGCATTTCACATTTTGCACGTTACCTTCTTCGACAAATTAAAACTCTCCAGGTCTCCAGGCCACGGAAACGTTTTTGTCTCTCACTTTCTTAGTATTGAGTGACTTTAAATTCGTGTAGGTTTGTTGATTGTTGAGCTAGATTGTTGAGCTTTAAATTTAAGCTTATAAATAATGTGAAAAATTGCTGTATGTGCAGCCCTTAAGAACTAAGCGTTAATTTTATTAATTTTTTAGTTTCTGTAACTTCGAGCTGAACAGTAAATAACGTTTTAGTGGTTTACCTTGTAGTAAGCACTTGGTGTTCTGACATAGAAAGATAAAGACGAGATGAAAATTTGTATTAAAATAGAAAAAGGTTGGACTAGGGTTCAAATTAAGCCAATTAAAGCTTAACGTGGTACGTCATTCTATCACATACATACAGCATTTCCGTACTGGCATATATATCAAGAGAACCGTTTCCTTAATAAGTCTCCCAATTTCAGTCTGGTAGGAACCAGGCATTAGAGAATAACCTTTCAGATCGTGGTATGGTTCATCCACCACGAAAAGAGACTTGATCTTGCCTTATAGGAAAGAGAGTTTCTGCGGGGAAAACCTTATACAGTCCCATCGAGAACTGCACATAAGTGAGTTCAAGATCTATTGTTGTGACGTAGGAGTAACGTAATGGACCTCTTCACCTAATGGTCAGATTATATGTCAGGTTCTTCGAGAAAGCATTACTATGTTCCTATGAGAATAGGAATTTACCAAAGGTGTTTTTCCTTGAGTTAAAAAATGTACTCTTGCGTAATGAATTTGAATATTTTTTGTTCCTGATGTTACCAGTCCATGTAATTTAGAAATGGTACAAAACATATGGTATCATATGATGCAAACGCCAAATACGAAAAGACCATGTCCTTTTATTATAAGTACATGGGTGTGACCAGTCCGATAGCTTGTTTATTCGATAAATGCGACACCTAATGCTATATAATATATCATCCATTCTCATGGAACAATATAAAAATAATCAAGTTTTATATAAAACATCAGTTAAATTTTATAAAAAAATTTATCTGGGAAAGTAAAGGTATGACAAAATATACGAGACTAATTAAATACTTACAATAAAAATATTAAATCTTTCAATTTAATTTTTGTTTGGACCATCATAAAAACGTCTATTTCGACATAAATTGATCTTACAGTCATTTGTAGTATCTTATGGCAGTTTTATTTATATGCATAGTTCTCTAAATATTTTTTTGGATGATTTTTTTGATATTTTTCTTCTTTTCAGTCTTATTTCATTTAAAAATATTCCAAAGTTTCTCCATAGGATCGTAATACTACTGTATTACTGCCATTCATTGACGATTTCATTGTATTATTTAACCATTTTGAGTAATCTACCGAATAGCGCTAAAGTTTTAATCAAATTTTGGTTGTAAAGAAGAACTAATATGATTTATTTATTATCAAACTTCCAGGTTTTTGAAGAACATTCCATGGTTTTAAAGAACAGGTTTATATACGAGTTGGTTTAGTGATTCATACCGTACATACTAAAATGTCTTTGAAACTGTCCAATATCAAATTTTGATATTATGGATAGTAACCGACCTTAATGAGTTCAAAAATGGAATCTGATTGGTTCAGAACGAATTATTAAATGAATGTTAGTTTGGAATGGTTAAATGCAGTTTTCAAAGAGTCAATTATTTTGAATTAGGAATGGATGACGTTTCATGAAATTTCTGACTTGTTCTATTGTAACTTGTAACATGTAATTATAACATATAAAAACATTAATATTTTTAAAAATCCGTGAAATCTATGTAGTTGAATGTATGCCATATATTTATTACATCTTCAAACTAATTCATTGTATTCTAATAAATTAAGCATATTAATTATTGTATTCTTATAAATTAAGCATATTATTCATTGTATTCCAATAAATTAAGCATATTATTTATTGTATTCTAATAAATTAACCATATTATTCATTGTATTCTAATAAATTAAGCATGTACCTTCATGCCATTTATGCCATTTAATTCAATACATAGCATCAGTAAGCATGAGGCAGCAGAGTTCATAAACATTTATGTCAATGGTCTCAAACTGGCCGTTCGTAAAGCCCTTTTTAGCTGCACGCAAAGACATTTCAATTATGCATTTGTTTCAACATTTTTTAAGATTTTAGTTATTTCGATTCTGATTTTATATTATGTTCCTTCGAATTGAAAGCACGAATATGAATAACGCACCAGAAAATCTTTAAATGAAACTAATTACTTTACACTGTGATATAAAACTCTTTCAAACGTTTGGAATACAAATTTCACTAACTTTTATTCGTACTTGACCAAAAACTAAGCTCAGTTACGGATAATTTTTGCACTAAGAATAATCGCTTTTTTTTTTATGAATGCTTGTACGCAGTAATTGTATTAAAAAACTTTTCTGGCTGTCCAGCTGTTTTCAGATAGTGCATTCGTCCCTCGTGCAACTTTAGTTTGAGATTATTGATTTATGTATTACATGTATTACTTGTGCAATTTTCACTCCGCATATCAATACGGATTCATAATTAATGGTTCTTTTCCAGGAACATAACTGAGTCATTTTGTCTGTTCAACCTTTATACAGAAGAAACAAGATCATGTGTTAAGTTTTAAAGGCTAGGTAATCAAAAATTAATTTCATTCTTTTCAGTCTACTTGAAACAGAAATAGATAGTTTTCCTGTAAGAAACCATCAACCTGATATAAAGCTTGAAAAGTTAAGTTAGCTATGTTCGGCAAAAGTTTGTAAGCGAGTTGGTTTTCCGTCTAACTCAACGGTGTTATAACATCGAGTAGTTTTGTGTTTTAAGCACTTCTTAGCTCCATAAATATCAGAAAAACGTCCCAAAATTATCTACTGTTTTACTACAGAATTTGAAAAAATAGCTGGTAGTAACAAACGCATGTAATAAGCATTTCCTTAATTTTACATTTCGTATTTATTATACATTTGGAAATTTTAGCTATAACTTAAAATTTTATCTCGGTATGGTCTATTTTAAAACAAGGAATGACGCAGATAGGATAATTTTGGGTATATTATAAAATCAGGAACGAATGAAAATTAAAACATGCAAATTACAATAATATAATTTAAAAGCTATTTTATATCCTTTTAATGATAAAATTGTAGCAGTTTATTAGTTTGTAATAAAATTTTAATAAGCTAAACTTTTAGCAAAAGCCGCACAATGTATCTGTAAAAAACGATGTTTCATTACAAATTCAAAAGCAGAAAGAAAAAATAAACCTACAAATTTGTTCTTAGAGTCACGTAATGCCCTTTAAAACAGAAAGAGTAAACTAAAATAAACGTATAATAAAAAGAGTAAACTAAAATAAATATTAACACTACGAGATAGTTAAAAACTAGAATTTTGGAAATGAGGTGCCCGTGCCACATACGGGCAAATCAGACTGTGCAAAAAATGGTTGCCCGTTCGGTGTTCGAGCAAAGTTGCTAAGCTGTTTTAATTGTAATCTACTTTGGTAACTGAAGTTAAGCAGTCAATTCTTGTATTGCTAGTCAACAAGAATTAGAAATATTTATTATGTTATTATTTTTAGTTGTATTACCACGAATGGTGGATATAATGCTTAGATTTAGATTTCACCACTGAATTTCATCTTGTGTTTCACAGTAAGCGTTTACAGAATGGATAACTCTCCAACCAGTGTTACCTTCTTAAGATCAGCCGTTAGATTTGAGGAATAATAAGTTTCAATCAGTTGCACGCATTAAATGCTATATTCTTAGCCCCCTCCAAATTACAGTCCGCTTTGTTCGAAATGGACTTTTCTGTGTTCTGCCTACAAGAACAAAAATGTCTAATTAGCTTAGACTGTGCATGTTTTGTTGAATTTTCCTCATTGGTATTAGATAAATTATATCTTTAGTCTACCAGTCCATAAAGCAAAATTGGAATATTTAATCATCGAAATGGGCTGCATTCCCACATAGCCTCTTAATAACTGTAACTTTAATCAGTTATGGATATCTCAAGGCTGATTTTAGCATATTAAAGACATACTATTAATTTGTAAATAGCGTTAAATTTATAAAGGTAATTGTGAAAAGGGAATTATATGGTGTAATATAATATATTAAAAATGAAGTCTTCCCAGTAACAATATATTGCTTGGACCCCTAGAAAATCACTTTTAGACTTTATTATAAATTATTTACCTTAATATTCAAGAAATTTGAAATGATTTGTTATTCTTACTTTTAAGAGTTGGACGTAATTGTCCTTATCGTCAGAATTTGAACCGCATTTGCCATGCCAACAGTTAGGGTATAACCATGCGATGTTAAGACCATCAAATCTGTGCTTTTTCAAGAACTTAATGGCTGTTTCGGTGAAATGAGACCTTCTATCCTTATCTCCTGCTAAGTCTGAGTACTTGCTTGAGGCACTGTCCTCCCAGCCACCAATGGAAAGAAGGATCTTTAAGTCCTGGTTTTTATGTCTCAGGGATATTATTCTCTACACAAAAGTTAAAATGACAAATAAATCCAAACGAACTTTTTATTAGATCATTTTTAAAAAATTAGCACAACACTAACACATCAGAAGTACAAAAATAATGATTATTGATACATTCATAAAAAGTATCTGTAGTTTTTTTAAATATATGTGATTTACATAAAGGGTTACTATACAAATTCCAAGTTTATTACGAATGCATTTGGAGTATTGGTCTATTTTTTTCTTTTCTGATCTGTTACATAAACTTACATACTCGGTTTTTTATTATTATTGTTTCATTTATTAATATTGGTTCCATTTAATGCTATTAAATACCAATTATTCATTTCACAGCAACTTTTCCTTTATTGAAATCACGTGCATAGCAGATAAGATGTAGTAAAAACAATTCTAATATTTTATTTCAAACTCATAATAGCTATAAAGTATAAACTTCTAGCATTGCAATAAACATTATTTACTTTGGGCATCTAAAAATGTTTAAATATAAAACACACTATTTGTTTCACTTCAGTAATGAATGTATAATCTGCTGTTTGGTTATTCGTATCAGGGGTGATGATATAATTCAAGTAACTTATAAGGTTAATACTATTATTTCACATAACCAATATTTTATAATTTAGATCTTTATTGTCACTTCTTTTTGCCGTTTCCTTACCAGAATGCAAATCTGGTTTAAGAGTATTTAAACCGAAAATTTTAGATTGTAAGAGAGACCGTCTTTCTGCCTCTCGAGGCCACGTTACTAGGTATCGTTGGCTCAAAGAAGATTTTAGTCTCCGGCCTTTGCATTAGAATTTCAGACATTACTAGGTAACGTTGGTATCGTAAAATTACTAGGTATCGTAAATAGGTTATCATATTAAATTGTTATGCTGGTGAGACGCTTGAGCCAAATTCGTGTTAAAAATTGTGCAGTCTTTGACTACTATTTGGATACTATTTTGACTACTACTTAATTTAAATTTGGAACTGAATGTTACTTTAAATTTCATTGCCGCAAGTGGTTGGCTGATCCTCTTAAGCACGAGACGTAAATTTTATGAAATTAATTACTTTTAACGTTCTGAGTAACGCTTTAATTTAACGTTCTGAGTTGATAAAAAATTATTTTTTAACCTTCTGAAGTCTTTTTTATTACCATCGGATGCAGCTATAATTTGCTCCAAGTTTGCTAGTAGTTTGGATTCCAGTCTGTGCTACCAAAGACAACCAAACTCTTTAAACTTGTGTTTAATTATTTAAGTAACTTATATGGCTAGCCGCTAGGTATCAAAATTATTTCATAGCATTATAAATAACAGTCAGAATTTTTAAACATTAGACTAAAGATTAGAAGATGAATCTGCTACCTTTACCAATGTTTAACAATTTGGTATTAACAAGTATTGTCCCACACCCGTCATAAACTAGATTTATTTTAATTTTAAATAATAACAAAACTATATAAATGTTTCATACTACAATGCATAATTTAAATGTATAAATTCTGAAATATATTTCCTTGAAAGAAGATTAGAAGAACTTAAATTTAAATAAAATACAATTGCATAAAAAATAAAGTTCATAAAGACCACAGAACATGGAGTCAGTAAAGTTCTATTAAACATTAATGAAAGCGACTATACAGAAGTTCATAATGTCTTAATTAAGCCTTTACACCTTATCCTCATAATAAAAAGTTATAAAGTGTAAGCTTATAAATAAAGTAATGAATTTTAAAGGAACTAAATAGGTTATCATCATAACCAATATTTTTAAACGGAATGGCAAATATCTTTTCGGGTGTTACCAGAAACAAAACATATACAAACATTATTTTTGATACCTGTACTCCATTATTTAATTTTAGCCAAATGAATTTTCCCAAAATCAGTACTTCTTACTTCAGATATTTTAGTAATCTTGGAATTTTCCTAGTTCTTGGCACAAACTTGGGATTCAAACAAATGCTTAGAGTTTATTACTAAATTAAAAATCAAGAAAAGTCATGGGGGGTTTTCAGGCTTAATAATTATAGCAACCTACATAGAAAACACATTAATGATTAAAATCATATATTGTTACGGTACTAGATGGCAAGCCAATGAGATAAGCGGGCTGCAGCCAAAGCAAAATTTATAAGTTGTATGTATATCTAAAAATCACATATCTAAAAACATTTCGATATGAAGGAAATCAGTTCATTCTTTCCAAGCAACAACCAATTCGTAAATCTTTTTTTTTTTTTTTTTTTTTTTTTTTTTTTTTTGTAGCCAAACCAGGAAACAAAATGTTTTGAGACTTCAGGTTAATACGTATTCGCATGTCGTCATGATTTAAATTTAATGTAATATAGAAACTTGTTCTCAATATCAATAAAAGAACGAACATGGAAATAATATATCGTGTCAATTATCATAACCTGAAACAAAAAAGTTGCCAACAACAGCTATTTATTTAAAATGCTGACATTAACAAAACATTTTCGACATACAATGACGTCACATACAATCGCGTGCTTTCTTCAGAGTCAGAATATGACCTTATATAATACAAATTACGTTAATTGTTTTTTTTTAAAATTGCTTACTTTGTTCCTTAAAAACAGACACTTTAAATTAAAAACCACAAAAAAATAAATAAATAAATAAATAAATAAATAAATAAAATCTGAAGATTTTCAGATTTTATATTACGCTAAGAGGTGCGATTTTGTTAACGGTTTGTGTATTACCTTTATTTATTAATTATTATGTTCTTCGCACTTAAACCATAAAATTCAATCCAACAGCAATATCGCAAAATAGTTTTAAAATGAGTACATCTTTAGAATTTTCGAAACACTGTCTCGCGCGCTGGTGATAAAATGTTTTTTGTTCCATACAGTATTGCCATTGCTAACATAAAAATTCGTTAAAGTGTTACAGAATATGAAATCGATAATAAAACAGATTCCAAATTTGGGTTTCCAGGTGCCTATATTCAGAGGATGATTACGTTATTCAAAATTTGATGGCTCTAGGTACCGTTGTTTTATCACAATGCGAGAAACATATATACATTTATGCAGATTCTTCATTATTAAATTTCTTTAAATATTATGCAGGGCTATACCATTTGGTGGCAACAGTTTTAAAAGTGACTACAATGAATCCACGCAAAATGCCAAAACGAAATTAATAGCTGTTCTGAGCTAACTCTCCCGTTGGGCTAATAATATGTTTAATGATTGGCAATGCTATTTTTATTTCATATTTTGTAAAACTTACAAATTTTTATTAACAAACTTTACGATTTGAAAGCGACCCGGCCGCTTCAGAGGAGATTGCCACAGACATGTGTTAGAGAAAAAACTCAGTCAAGTTATTGGGGTTTAAATTTTTTAATAGCTAAAAATACTTTTCTTCCTTGCGTACAACCGGTTGAGAACCCCTGGTATAGATAGTTTTTTAATAATTTACATTATACGTTAACTAAGATTATACAATAAAAGCATATTATAGTTTCACTGCTTTAGACTACACAGCTTACTAATTATAAAACCAAATTTTTCAGTTACTGAAATGGTTTGAATGAAGGGATGCGTAATGGAATTAAATTAAAAGATAAAAATAACTATGAAATATCGTGAAAAGCTAAATTAAAAGAACAACTGAATATTTATAGAAATAATCAAACTAAAAGAAAATGGCTGTTAAAACAGGTTATTGGCTGTAAAGCTTTACAAGATTGAGAAATCTGAAAGCTGATTGTAAAAGTTTTTCCTGAAAATATGTTTCACAATTTATAACACTAACTCGTAAGTTTTCTTACAGTCTCCTCTTATATTTCTATCATTTACAAATATAGTTTTATAATAATTATATTTATCCAATTTAAAAAAATTCAGAATCTGTTTCTGAATTTAAATTTGAATGTTTAAAACAAATGACTTAAATGCAAATCGTAACCAAAATGTAGGAATTTAGCAAATAGTTTTTGTCACTTACATCGTAATAATTTTGGTCAATATCTATGCTTTGGTCTAAATAGTCGATCTCGTAGGTATCTTCGTTTAATCTTGCATATTCGTAGTTGATATGAGTGCAAAGGAAAGGATCAATATCTTCTGGTGTAAAACTTCCTCGGTTATAGGAAAGGCAGTCGAAGTGGCAGACGATTTTTCTAGTAAAAAATTCAAATGATTCGCTACTACTCCTTCGCTCGGCAGCTATGAAAGTAAAATAAATCATAAATTTAGAGAGCAGACAACTGATTATCTTTATAAATAAGATTATCAATAAATAATAATAATAACAGAAATAATAGCAATAATTATTTATTATTACTCAAAAACTCTTTTTTTATAATTTTAATTGTGAAGTAATTTTTGTTTTCGTGGTTACATCGGAGCAGATTATATCTTGATGATTAATTAAAATAAATATTATTTTTTTAATTTAAAAATAATGCCTACTTTATTGCACTTTTAAAGCACTTCTATTTAATACATTTAATTAAATTTTTATATAGCTTTTTCCTTAAATTATTTCTTTTGTATTGTTTCAAGAATCCACAATCATCCAGATATAATCAAAAACATTGTGTTCAAAATTCTTTGGTTGCTCCTTGAAAATGAATAAGGAGAGTGTACATTTATATATGTAGTTTTTTAAACAGTTGAAAATTGATAGGTCTAAAAAAAGAATCAGAAATACCATCTATAGTTTGGGATGAAGATAGATTGCAATTTTTCAAACAGTTTAAAATTGATAAGTCTAAAAAAAGAACCAGAAATACCATCTACAGTTTGGGATGAAGATAGATTGTAATTTTTCTCTATGATTACAAACTTTAACAAAATCGAAAATAGATGTGGTGTTGCAGCTGAAATTTATATTAACACATGAAAAAGCTTATAATTATTTATATACAAACATATGCATGCATCAGAGAAAGATTTAATAAATAAAAGAAAGAGACTATTTTGTCATAATATTTCTCTAGTTTGTCTCACATGGAAAGTTTTCCTAATTTGTTTATTTTTTTGTTTAAGTTGATACTCTTCTGCTTCACAGTAAGTTATTTAGGAGTTATTTACACTCATTAGAATTATTTGAAATAAGGTCACCCTGAAAATTGAATATTTAGCTACCAGTATGTTTCAATTGCAAAGTGATACCATCAGAAAGTTCTTACCGATATTAAATTTTGGGTCTTAAAAAGAAAATAAATATAAATTGGAATATTTCCTTTGCGTCATTATTATTCCCATTTACATATGATTTGGCAAATATTTAAATATTGTAATTTAAAATTTAATTTGGTTAAAAAGATTTTGTTTTGTTAAAAACATTTCGACCCGTTAGCTGTTTTCAGCTGCTGGAGCCGGTCCAGTATATAATTTTAATTTGAGACCAACATCATTTTGATACTAAAACCATCATTATGATACTGAACTTCGCTGTAGTAGAAGTGGAGTGTACACCAAAAGTTCTCAACCCTTTTGTAATCCGTGCGCTCCTTTCACCACTACTAGACAGACGATCATTTCAGCTCCTGCTTTCCAAAACTCGAAAATTACATATACGGTTATATAAATTTAGATTATTTTTAATGTGTTTTATAAATTTAAAAAAGCAAAATGTGGAAATGAAATTATCCATTATCAGAACTTAAATAAAAGCACTTTTATATTATTCATAATCTATAACAAAATACTTAACATGCAAATAAAAGGCTGAAGGCATTCCCCCCCCCCCCGAAGCTATGAAGTCCTCCCCAGAACGGAATTTTCGCCTGGTTGAGAAACACTAGTGTAGATAGAAATTGTCTTATTAATGGATGTAGACTGATTCTTCCATTTATTCATATTACATTTAAAATGATGATACCATTCGACAATATTTTCATCCTTGTCCAAATGCCGTATTAATAACTTGAGCTGTTCCTGAATTAAATCATGTTCTAATAACATAAACCATCTGTACGCAAGATTGTGATCAAACATCTTTTCGTCAATAGAGATATCTTATGTCTATTGGTTTGGCACATGGCCACTTTATATTATTAGATCTACACATGCTTTAGTTATAACTTGGCTTTAGATGTAGCTTAGGACAGAGTTTTATGACACATCTTTCTTAAGAATTTTGTTTACGACATAGTTTTGTGAAGAAAAGGTCATCAAATATTTTTTTTCAACAAGGAAATCAAGTCCCATTGTATATGCTGATTTGCTTCTTATGCGATTATGTCATTGATATATCTTTGAGGCAAATTCTCTTATCAAGATATTATTATTATTGTTTAAAAATTCCTACGTCTTTGTAATTAACCTCGAAATTTGTCTAAATGATTTTTCAGAAGTTTTCTTAAGTTTTCTATATATCTTTTCATAGGTGCGTAATACTTTACCATTGGTTATAGCGTTTTAAAGAAACTGTATGTAAAAATTCAGAGTCTACTTAAGAACAGTTAATATAGCGTTCGATATGCAGTTTGTATACTCGTGACCTTCTGAATAAATGCGAAACGGCCTTTCAGCGACTTTTATTTAAAAGCATAATATTTTAAAACCAAATTACAATTTTTAAATCCTTTTAGATTTTATTGAATGATACATACTTTGCAGTTCTGAATAAACAATTCAGGAATTTATGTTAACTCCAGGCTTGTAAAAAATTTGAAAATCACCTTATTATATCATAGGAAATATTCGTTTAAGTACGGTTATACGAGATTTTATATTTCACTTTTTACATTTATGTAACCATGATCATCATCAAACATTTTAGAAGTGTTCTTGAAAAGGCCCGAAAGTGAGATTTCAATCAGGAAATGGCCCATTAAATAAAATTTGAATGTAAACATTCGCTGTTAGAAAAAGAAAACCTAATTCTTTCATTTTAAATTTAGTTTCAAGTTATATTTAACGACGAAAGTTATGGACCAGAAAAACAGGAGGTGGTATCGGATTTGTTCTGATGTCAAACTTGAATTATCAGAATTAATATAACGCCACTTTTGAAACGTTAATGGTGAAGTAAAGAAAGGAAAAGTTAAATATGCACTAAATATTTATTCTTAGTATAAAACAAAGAAATGAAAATAAATTTTTAACTTACATGATCTTTGCGCCAAAATTAGCAGCACTGCAAAGATTGCAAAAGCAAAAGTCTTCATTATTGACTCGAGGGTGACAATTCAACAGTGCTGTAGAGAATTTGTCACTTGATCCGAAGCAAATCTTATGTCAAAAGTATTTTACTTCGTTAGATTCGGCCTGAGACGCAGAATGCTTACTTTGAGCTCCTTGCCTGCTGCTCGAAGTGACGTTTCTCGCCAGGTAAGTGATGTATTTATGTTTTCCTTTGTTTATGTGGGAAGGAACATCTTTGCAATAATCAACCCCTTTCTCTCGACAGGAGGAAACTAAGCATTCTTGGAGCAGCTGTCTAAACTTAATTGGTCTCTACATCGAGTCCGCTAATTTTTTGTGGTGGAAATGCAAGGACGCAGAGAATACATTTCATGCCCCCTTCTTGCGAAAGATGAATCAAAGGGCATGCAGTCACGTTTTCAGTTTCACTGAAACTCCGTATCGGTAAAGTGTCAATTTGGTACGTGGCGGAATTTTGACTGACATATTGTTTTTCACTTTCCCAAGTGTAAACAAGTTGAGTGTATTTTCATTTCCGGAAAGCAAACCAGGATTTGAAAAGTGGCCTTCGGGAGAATAACAAGATTAGAAAAGTGGCCTTCGGAACAGTAACAAAATATTTGCTATTTTCCAACACCTTCGCAAAGTAATATCCTTTTCTTATTTTATTTTCCTAAGATGATAAAGTAATATCCTTTTCGAATTAATTATTTGATATTTTCTTTCGAATTAATTAAATAAATATGATAATGTAACTTTCGAATTAATTAAATAAATATGATAATGTAACTTTCGAATTAATTAAATAAATATGATAATGTAACTTTCGAATTAATTAAATAAATATGATAATGTAACTTTCGAATTAATTAAAAAATATGATAATGTACTTTCGAATTAATTAAATAAATATGATAATGTAACTTTCGAATTAATTAAATAAATATGATAATGTAACTTTCGAATTAATTAAATAAATATGATAATGTAACTTTCGAATTAATTAAATAAATATGATAATGTAACTTCGAAAATTAATTAAATAAATTGATAATGTAACTTTCGAATTAATTAAAATAATATGATAATGTAACTTTCGAATTAATTAAATAAATATGATAATGTAACTTTCGAATTAATTAAATAAATACTGTTGACATACATTGCTGATAATTTCATTCTAAAACAACTGCAGAAATTGGTGAATTGAAAAACAAAAAGCTATTTCATTAAATTGCATTGAAAGCTTTTAACTATACTCATTATAGCTGATTAAAAAAAAGATAATACATAGCTATTTAATTAAAGATTTATTATACATGGTTTATTACGTTATACTCAGTCCGAGAAAGCAGTTATATTTTTTTATTCGGAGTTTAATTCTTCGCCCTATGGCAATATAATCCATCATGTTTTCATCAAATACCACTTTGGGGTAGGTAAGTTTCAACTTACTCATGCATTATTAAGGTTAGGAGCCATATTTAGAGCTGGTCGTGTTTAATTTACTGCATGTATTTTCATTTACCGCTCAGCTTTTTTCCATGTAAACAGTGCTGAAGATGAGCGATCAATGGCGTCTTGAACAGCAGGTTTCCTTATCATGAATTATCTTAAAATAATATATGTTTCTAAATCTTTAATTAAAATGGGAAATATATCGTTTTTATAAATCAAAGTCCATTATTAAATGTATTTCTTATACTCAGTTTCGGCATTTATTTCATTAATTTATTAAATTTTTTTCTTTGTTAATAGAATGCATATTGAGGTTATGTATCAAGAAACAAGAGAAATACGTCAATGTAAAACTTAAAATTGAGGAAATCATTAACACTATATTAGATGGAAATTTTAAGCAAATGATTAAAAAATGCACCAAACACAAGGCTGCTGTTTTCCCGAATTTTAAGAGATGCATCTTAGAAGCAAAAACATATCCTTTTTTAAAAGAATGGGGAATGGATATAATAAAATAATAAAATTGATAATAATAAAATAATAAAATTATAGCAAAGCAGCACATGCTTTAAAATCAGATATTTTTTAAAACAAACTTACCCGTACTACATTTTTTCAAAAGGCTGAAAGCACTTCTCTTTCGTAAGCCGATGCAAGAATAGACATTAAATGTTGCATACTAGTGAAAAATAGGAAGTGTTAACATTTGAGAAGCAATTTTAGTTCTCATTCAGAACAGTTAAGCAAGAATAACAGCTTTCAACTAACACAATATGCTTGAAAGAGGAAGCTAAGAACTGCATACAAGAGTATGGTAGTTTAATGAAAGTTACTTGCAAAAGAAGTTCAGCTGTTTTCAATCACATCGAGTATGTTAAGGAAATTATATTTGATATATGTCTGATACTAAACGAAATTTTGAAGTTTCCTAAAATCTTGATAGAATTACAATCAGCTATCATAAATTGCATGCAAAAAAAAAAAAAAAAAAAAAAGAGTCTAACGACTACAAATGAAACAATACTGATCGTTGTTGATTTTAGTTTCGCAGAAGAAATTTCGACGGCTCAATGCCATCAACTCCTTCAGCTTCAGTTAAATGAAAGATAAAGTACCACTGACAAAAAAAGATATTGACAAATTTTCGAGATTTAACTAGTAATTTCTCGAAAATTTGTGGATCTGACATTTCTTTCGCAATACGTGTCTTCATTTATTTACGTAAGAAAGCAGTAATATCTAACAATTGAAAGCATTCCTGCTAGAATAAAATACCACTTGAATCAAAGTTGCTTTTCTTACGCTCAGATTTAATTTGTACACTATTCCTTCCCACTAAATACGCCTAGCTGCGCTCAGTCCTTTTTACGTAATTTTGTTACCATTGTTGTTATTATATTAATTATAACTAATTTTAAATATAACTAATTTCGTATGCAATAAAGAATTTATTACTAATTTTAAATATAACCCATTTCATGTTAAAGCAGTAAAAAAAATTAAAGATTTTTCAGTATTTTTCTGCTGTACACTGGTGACGCTCATTTTAAGCGTCACTCATTATAGTGACAGTTCCATTACAAGAGTAAATCCAAAGAAGTTCCTAACTGATGAAGCTATATTAAATTTGCTTTTGTTGCACTGAGCACTCGTTCTAAATTCTTTTTTCTTTGGTAAGTAAAATGTGAATATTCTATTACCAGTTTCAAGCATAGCAGAAAAGCTTACGCCTTAAGGTAAAAAGAGTGAAGCTTCCTAAAACAAGGCTGGCGCACATAATACTACATGCCAAAAATAAATATGAACCAAAAGACTTCCATTTCATTATTAAATCCTTACATCTACGGTCACAGACATTTCCCAATATATTTCTACAAACTTGGGATTTCAGATTCTGACCTTAGTGTGCAAAGTGTATTGGAGCACCACATAAAAAGTTTCAAAATAACAGACGGTTTCCATATCTGATATGGTTTCCAAGTTCCCGTACAACAGCTCTCAATATTCAGGAGATATCTAACTCTGAAACAACATCTAAGGCAGAACATCTGAAAGATAATGGATCTGCTCTCCCAGCTTGTGGAGAGAAGTATGTTACGCTGTGTGACAATACAATTCAGCTTACAACAGAATCTATCCTGTAGCATAACTATGCTTCCTAACAAAAAAATTCAGAAGCTTAAAACTGACGAATCAAAATATAACTAAACTAAAACACTAAACTAAAGGAGATTCATCTTAAGTACGTCGCATTCTTTCTCTCACTTCGCAGCTACCAACTTATTAACCCAGCTGCTTTAAATGTATTTAGTAATTCTGTAGGTTCTGATGTAGTTGTTTAGGAACAGACTGCTTTTAAGCTTATTGCGCCACTTTAACTGTATTCTCTAAAAATGTTCGTCAACGATAATAAAGAAATATTAAATCAGCCACATGACTGCAAACTTCTTCTGTCCGAATCTGCACGCTACCAGCATTTGAAATTATTTCATATATATATAAAACAAGTGGAGCATCACATGGAACTTTGCGGTTGATCATTCTTAGGAGTAAAGTGAATGTAACTGTTTAAAATATCCGGATTTTCCATTATTTGAAATCTTGATCAACACATAGTTCCCGCTCACGATTCTTCAACACATTAACTAGCTTCCAGAAAATAAGTCAGTGATGTCACATTTCACAAGCGTCTTATTTGAGAGTTTTTATATTAAATGTCAAATACTGCTTTACAGAGGATGTTTAAACATTTTATAACGACTTTTGGGCCTTCTAATTAATGCTTAAATTGTAAAGAGTATTCTTTTAAATGCTGTGTCTAAATGGTCTTTTTTCTAGACTAGTCTACATTGTGATTTCCATGATAGAAGGCTATTTTGTAAAAGTTTCAGAGGTAATGATTTCCATTCCTCTTCAACCACTTTCCAGAGTCCATCAATCGTAGGTGTTTTGCACTTAGAAAGAGCTCTTTTTAAGGGACGAAAAGCACAACAGTCCTAGGTGAATTCACCTACCACAATAGCCACCTACGCAAAAGGACAAACCTTTTAATAGTTGAAATTTATCTGAACTCTTAAAATTCTTAGGAATAAATTTATTGATGGGAATAAAGGGGATCCTCAGTTACAGGGATTATTGCTTCTCTGCACCGGAAATGCATGATGCCTGCATTTCTGAACAAATGTCCGTGAAATGATTTACGTGAATTTTATCTCATCTTTACCTTAATGACAATACTTTCCAACCTAAGACAGGAGCCCCAGTGGATTAGGTTAGTGAGATTAGGTTGATTTAGCAGTGACTGTATACATAAAGTAAAAAGATAAGAGATGCGTGAATGTCTTATCAAATAAAAATCATCCAACTGATATTCTTCAAATGCATAGTAAGGGAAAAAAGACTTAACTATGTAAAACATTTCCTACCCAAGAGCTGTTGTGAACTATAATAGTAACACGTAATTTGTAGACGACTTTAAGCATTTGAAAAGTATATATGGAACTGTCAGGAAAAGCGAAAAACGGTGGCACATGATTGTTTTTTATTTTAATAAAAAAATTTTGGAAAAACCTTATATATTGCATAAAACATGCCACGAAAAATCTGGACAAAAATCTCTGAAAGCTTTTCGGCTAGAACTTGTCACAGTATTGATAAACTTAAGCAAAAGTGATAATATTCCTAAACATTAAGTTTCAGTGAAATCG